ACAAGAACTTGGAATACTGGAGGACCGCACGAGTACTCAACCAGAGACAGATTCGATGGGCACAGGAGTTCTCCAAGTTTTCCTTCGAGATCCGATACGTGCCAGGAGAGGAAAACGTAAGAGCAGATGCTCTCTCCCGGAAGCCGGAGTACATGGAAGGAGAGGGACCGCCGGAGATACGACACGTGATCCCCGAGGACCGATGGGTGTGGGGGGGGCCTTGGTTGGGAAACGAGAACTGGCCGGGCTTACTAGAAACGACGTGTTCGCTCAAACTAAAATCCGGGAACTCCGAGATGGAAGAGAAAACCATGGGAGGGTTTGAGGAAAAGGAAGGGGTGCTGTACTATAAGGGGGCGCTGTATGTACCGGGGGAGACCCTGAGGGGGAAGGTACTCAAACAACTCCACGACAACCCCACAGCTGGGCACTTTGGACAGCACAAAACCATGATGCTCGTCACCAGGCAGTTCTGGTGGCCAAGGGTGAGGGAGGATGTACGGGAATATGTACGGGGGTGCGACCGCTGCCAAAGGGCAAAGGGGGAGAGGGCTGCCCCCGCAGGGTTACTGGAACCCTTACCCACGCCGGGAAGACCCTGGGAGGTGGTGTCCATTGATTTTATGACCGATTTGCCCAAGTCCCGGGGGAAGACAGCAGTCATGGTAGTAGTCAATCTATTGACAAAGATGTGCCATTTCATAGCTTGTTCACATGTGGTGACCGCAGAGAAGACAGCCAAGTTGTTTGTGGATCACATCTTCAGGTTGCATGGGGCTCCTTCAAGGGTCATCTCCGACCGCGGGAAACAATTTACTTCCCGGTTCTGGAGGAAGCTCATGAGCTTGCTGCAGGTAGAGGTGAGCTTCTCGACGGCGAGACATCCGGAAACCAACGGGCAAGCAGAAAGAGCGAACAGTATACTCCAGCAATACCTACGCTGCTACGTCAGCGAGAGGCAGAACGATTGGGTAGAGAAACTAGCGCTGGCTGAATTTGCGTACAATAACGCTGAACATGTGTCCACGGGAATGAGCCCGTTCATGGCCAATTATGGGTGTCACCCCAGGGCCTTCCCGAGGAGTGGGGAGGAAGGGTGGAGCGTACCTGCGGCAGAGCAGTTTGTGGAAGAAATGGAGGCCCTGCACCAGCAACTTAAGATGAACTTAGAACGGGCCAAGGAAATTTACAAGAGGCAGGCAGACAAGCACCGTAGGGAAGGGGAGACCATACGGGTGGGGGACCGGGTGTGGTTGTCAACCCAAGGGTTACCCTTTAAGGGGGGGTGCAAGAAGTTGCAGCCAAGGCGGCTGGGACCGTTTGAGGTAACACAGCAGGTGAACCCCGTGGCATTCAAGCTCAAGTTGCCTGACAGCATGAAGATACACCCGGTGTTCCATAGGTCCCTACTCTCACCGTACAGGGAGGGGCGGGAATTCCCGGGGCGAGAGGGAGAAGTCACCACACACCTGCAGATAGAGGAGAGGGAACACCACAACCTGGCCACGGAAATATTCGATTCAAGGTGGCGAGGGCGCCAGGTGGAGTACTTGGTAGCTTGGGAGGGAGAAGCCGGGTCGGAAAACACGTGGGTTCCCGCGGAGGCAATCAATGACGGGTATCTTGTGGAGGAATTCCACAGCCTGTTCCCGGACAAACCGAAACCACTAGCGAGATTCTGGGAGGAGCAATTTGGAACCACAGACGATGAAGAGGATTTTGTGGGTTTTTCTGCCTCCGAAGAGGAGGGAGGAGAGGCTTCGGAGGAAGAAGAATCAGACTGGGAGGCCCACCCCGCGGGGGGAGATCGGAGCGGGTGGGAAGCAGGTTTTGAATCCTCAGAGGATGGCGACAGCTCCTTCCAGGGATTCCCCGCATCGTCGGCCGAGGAAAGGGACGAAGTTGGATCAAAAGGTCGGGCCGGGGGTGGAGGGGGTCCTGGGGGGGAGGTGGATGTCAGGGAACTGACATCGGAGCCAGAGGCGGAGGCAAGGCTCTCAAGCGATGCTGGAGAAGGGCCCAGCAGGGAGAGAGGCAGCTCATCACCTGGGGAAGGAAATCAGCGTAACACCAGGGATAACGGGGGGCCGCTGGGGGAACCGGCGAGGGGGCTCCAGGACTCCTCGCCGGAGACCAGCGGGGAGAGCACGGGTCCTCCGCTACCCACACCCTCCCTGCGCAGAAGACTTCTGCGCAGGGAGAGTAGGAGGAGACTGGGCGTCAAACAGCTTTTATGCTGGAAAAGGTTTAAGAAACGCCCACTGACGGATTCTGCTAGCGACTGAAACAGCCACGAAGTGAAGGGCTGTCCAGACAGAAAAGGTTTAACAAGGCAACCTAGCCAGGAGTGGCGGCAACTTACGCACGAGCAACCCCTATATTTATTACACAAATTTTATAATCTGTCTACCTCTTCTTCTTCCTCCTCTTCTTCTTCTTTCTTTCTTTCTTCTTCTATCTCGTCTGGATCCACTCCTCCTGCAGCCTCCATTCCTGGTTCCACTCCTCTTGCTTCTTCATCGTCACTTCGCAACTCTTTATACTTTCTCAGAAATTTTCCTATTTCCTCCGGGCTTGTAAGTCTATGTCTTTTACTTTTGTAGACAAAAGAGATCCCTTCCGGATATTCCCATCTGAATTCTATATTATTATTTTTTAAGATCTACACTTTTGGTTTATATGGGTCTCTCCGTTTAAGCAGCCTGATCGGGATGTCTTTAAAAATGATTATATAGTTTCCTTCAATGTTCAATCTTTTCTCTCTGTTTTTCTGGAGTATCAGGTTTCTCATCTCCCTATCCTTAAAGGTAATCAGGCAGTCTCCTGGAAACTTTCTTGCCTTAGCTGATCTTGTCTTCATTTGAAATGCACTTTGCACAGATCTTGCCACCTCGTCTATATGCATCTCCATCCATTGTGCAATCTCTTTTATTAATTTCTCTTTAATATTTTCTCCTTGCACCTCTGGAACAAGTCTCACTCTTAGGTTCACTTCTCTCTGCCTGAGTTCGTTCATAGAAATCACATCCCAGACCTCCTCTTGTGTTTTATTAATTTCTGACATTCCCGCCCTTATTTTCTCTTCTTCCTTCTTCACCTCCTTCATTTCCAATCTTGTCTTTTTCATCCCCTCTTCCAGATTCTGTGTCCTCTTACTCACATCCTTCAATTGCCCTTTCAGTTCATTAACTGTAGCATCATTTTTTTTATCCATTTGGCCCATTCTCTTGTCCATTTGCTCTAATTTTGCTTCTATATTCTTTTCACTCTGCTTAATATTGGAATTGATCTCTGCAAACATTTTCAAAATCTCTCCTTTAAAATCCGCTTCTTGTTTTGATCCTCTCCTCTCTGCCGGTGTTCCCCCATCTCCCCCTTTCTTTTGTGTATGAGACATTGTAATTGATTTCCGAACACCTAATATACAGTCAACAACAATCAATGTTCAATCTGAATAGAAAGTCATTAAATCACTTTTTCAAAAAAGGAATAGAAAAACATAAAAGTTTTTTACCCCTCCCGGATTCTCATACACTTAAAATTATATATCAATTAGATTGTATATATCAATCTTTGCTAAATAATTTTTTCAGATATAAATACTGCTTATAGGGGAGAACACCATTTAACTTATTGAAATTAACACTTTAAAGAGACCAATCCCCCACCAAAGATTTTCTTCCTTTCTTCCTTCTTCTTGCCACCACTTAGGTTAAATCCGTACCGGTTTGCTGTCGAAGATATATTCCCCCAAATAAAATATTATGCTGTCCAAATTATTGTAATCCAATAGTTGTATGTTGTAATCCAGTAATTATAATCCAATTGTATGGCCAAAATTATTGCAAATATTAAAAAGGAAACACAAGGGCACCAAATATATCCAAAGAGAGGAAATAAAAAAGACATGTCTAGAGGAGTCTGTCCAAAAATATTTGCAGAAGCTGCCTAAAACTCCATATTTTGAGGTAATAAATTTAAGTTCAAATGTGTAAGACAAGGAGAGAAGAGAAAAAAGAGAAATGATGTTTAATTAGATAGTCCAGACTAGTCCAATAATAGAAAAAATAAAAATAAAAATAAAGAGGAGTAATTGATTCAGTTCTGATTTCACTTAGCTCCAAATAAAAATAATATCCTTAAAGCAGCCAGCTAGGCAGCTCTTTCTCAGTTCGTTTCACGGACACACATAAAAAACAGCTTGAGTAGGTAAAACCTTCATTCAAACACAGTCCTTTCCTTTTATATTTAAACAGTCAAATTTAGTTAAAAGCAGAGGTACAAAATAACAGGGGGGAAATTATACTGCCCAATATTGTCCTTCCATCTCTTTATTTTATTTTATTTGTTGCTGGGTGACTTTATCCTTCAACTAAAAATGGAGACACAAAGGTGTTGGGATACTGCCAGGGAGATAAAGTCCATCACGACCCCCAAGCCGTCTGCCGGACGATCCATCGATTTCCCGTAGGCACGCAGTATCAGCAATTAGCCACATGAGTTTCTAGAAAATATCTTGCCACATTCCAGAGCTCATGCACACTCTATCAGCAGATAATGCACAGCCAAAGTCGCACTCAGGAGAGCATTATTTACAAGTTTTATTCAGCGTTGATCAGAACAAAGAAAAACATGACTGCCTGGTTCAGTGTCTACGACACAGAGAGAGAAAACGAAAGCAATAGGAAACATAAACATCCTGTGAACAGGAAATGCGCAGACTCTTTGACTCACAAAAGCCTGCTCCCTTTTAAGGTGGAATGGAAATATCCTAACAAAAGGTTCTATTTTATTGCGCAGTTTTTTTCCAAAACCGAAAGTACCGAGAAGTGTCTTTCTTTCTTACTTCCTTCAAACCGTTCGTTATATCAAAGACCTTTTAAAGTCACAAAGTAGTTACCCTCTGCTCCCTCTTTTAGTTATCCTCTTTTTCTGCAACTTTTTGTTACTTTTTGCAACAATTTATCTCATTTTTAGCAAGTTTTCTTAGAGAGAGAAGTTCAAACCGCTTGCCGTGTCACCAACCTCCCCTCCGCGCTCCGCTCGTAGTCTTGCGTTGTTCTCTGATTACAGACAAAACTGACCTCTTTTTTCTCCCTCTTTTCCAAAGCCTTCCTTTTGTGTATTCCAATTGTAATCCAAATTCGGCTCAAGTTCCTTGCTTTTGAGAATCTGTCACTCGCCCTGCAAGCCTGGGGCTGCGTTCTCGAGGGTGAGACAATGGCTTCCCGGTGCCTGCTTTCTCCGCCCGCCGTTCTCTTCGCTCCTGTTACGGAGTTACCTGACGGCCGGGCGATCTGCAAACGGCTCCGCTGGGATCCTGACCCTCTGGTTTCCCTCCAGAGGGGTTTTGGGGGGCTACCATGCCCTGTAGCACCCCCGTTTACCCTCGAGAACACGGACTTTCTCTTCCCGAGAAAATCCCGCTTGCGACGGGTCTGTGGCTCGACCGGAAGTCTATCACCCCGTTCTCTAAGCCCCGCTTCCTTCACGGCCTCGCTGCCTGCCACAGAGGGCTCTCTCAGTACCAGCTCCCACCCTGTATCCCTCTCCTTATCATCTTCTTCTTTGCTGAGGTTGTTCTCTTCCCCCCACCCTCTGGGTTTGGGCTCGTGAGGGTACATACGGTGGAACTGTCTCTGCAAGTCTGGGGCATGTAAATCCTGACTTTGTACCCAAGAGTTTTTTGCAGGTCCATAACCTTTCCATGACACTAAATATAGCAATTGTCTTCTGCAAAACCTCAAATCTAAAATCTGTTGGATCTCAAACTCCTCCAGGTCTTCTACCATAACTGGGGGAGGAGGTGCCTGCTTAGGTTCCTGGTGGTGGTGTACAGGAACGTACGGTGACAGGAGAGCCCTATGGAATACAGGATATAACTTCATTGAGGCTGGCAATTTAAGTTTGAATGATACAGAGTTTACCTGTTCTACCAATTCAAAGGGCCCCAACCACCTTGCCTCTAACTTCCTGCACCTCCCCTTCATTGGCAAGTCCTTTGTCGACAACCACACCTTATCCCACACTTTGATCTCCTCCCCCTGTTGTCTACGCTTGTCAGCGCCTTTCTTGTATGCGGTCTTAGCCTTGTCAAGTTTCCCCTCATAGTTCTTGTAACGCCTGGATCTCCCCTATGAGCTGCTCTGCTGCTGGTACCGACAAGGTACTCCATGGCTCTGGAAATGCTCTCGGATGTCTTCCATAGTTGGCTAGAAATGGTGTTTGTTGGGTGGACGAATGCACTGCGTTGTTATATGAGAACTCCGCTAGTCTCAATTTGTCCAACCAGTCTTCTTGCTGGTAGTTCACATAGCAATGAACGTATTGTTGCAGCATAGTGTTGGTTCTCTCTGATTCCCCATTGGTTTGCTGGTGTCGCTGAGGTCAGGCACACTTCTACTTCCAAAAGCTGCATCAGCTTCCTCCAAAACTGCGAGGTAAATTGTGTCCCTCTGTCCAAAATCACTCGCAATGGCAGCCCGTGCAGTTTGAGCACATGATCGATAAACATCTGGGCCGTTTCCTGTGCTGAATGCAGTTTAGGGCACGGCACAAAGTGTGCCATTTTCTTGAACAAGTCCACCACTACCCAGACTACTGTCTGTTTCTGAGAGACCAGCAAGTCTGTGATAAAATCCATCACGATCGCCTCCCAAGGTCCTTGCGGAGTCGGAAGCGGTTGCAGAAGTCCCGCTGGGGCTGCTCTAGGTGTTTTTGCTCGTTGGCAAGTGTCACATGCCCTGACATACTCCTGGGCCTCTTCTCTCATCCTGGGCCACTGAAACCGTCTCCTTAGTGATCTACGGTCTTGTACTGCCCAAAGTGACCCACCGTCGGGTTGTCGTGGCACTACCACATGACTCATGCCCACAAATCCCCTTCTGGCATGTAGAGCATCTCACCCTTAACCAAGAGGCCTTCCCTTTCGGTGAATCCTTCAGCGCTGTTCTCCTTGTTACGTATCGCTGCCAGTTTCTCCTGCGAAAATTCATCTCCTTGTGTTTGGCGCTTGAACTCCTCTACTCCGACAATCAACATCGCCGCTAGTTGCAACTGTTCTGGCTTCAGAATGTGTTTCAATTCTTGGTTCTGTTCTCCCCTCATGTATTCCGGTTTCTGGGACAAGGCATCCGCCCTCTGGTTCAGATGCCCTGGTACATATTGTATGCGGAAGTTGAAGCAGGCAAAGAACTGCGTCCACCTGATCTGTCTCTGGTTCAGTTGTCTCGCGGTCTGCCAATATTCCAAGTTCTTGTGATCAGTGTGCACCTCCACTTGGTGTCATGCACCTTCTAGGAAATGCCTCCGTATTCACAAGGCCTCTTTTATAGACAGCAGCTCCCTTTCCCAAATGGTGTAGTTCTGTTCCGAGGTGTTCAGCTTCCAAGAGTGGAATGCACATGGCCGTAAGTCCCCGTGGCTGTCTCCCTGCAGCAGCACCGCTCCTACTGCCCTTTCAGAAGCATCTGTCTCCACTATTGTTGTTAGCCGCCCTGAGCCCGGCTTCGGCTGGGGAGGGCGGGATATAAATAAAATTTATTATTATTATTATTATTATTATTATTACCATTGGTCTGTACGGATCTGCGTGGTGCAGGTACTCCTCTGCGGCAAACATCTCCTAATGCCTCTCAAACGCGCACTGTGCTTCATCCGTCCAGACAAACGGCTTCTTGCCCCTCAAGCAGTCAGTGAGGGGTGTGGTGAGTTGCGAGTAGTTAGGCACGAAGTACCTGTAGTAGTTAGCGAAGCCCAAGAACCTCTGCAAGTCCTTCTTGGTCTTAGGCTTCTGCCACTCCAACACCGCTTTCACCTTCGCCGGATCCATATGCACCCCCCCCCCCAGGAGACACACGATACGCCCTCAGCCATTGCAACACCTCCCTTACATGTCGCACATGCTCTTCAGGACTTTCTGAGTATATCAAAAGATCGTCAAGGTAAGATACCATGTTCCTGTCTAGCAAGTCTGCCAAAACATGATTGATGAAGGCCTGGAAGGTGGCTGTGCCCGATTGCAACCCAAACAGCATCACTAAGTACTCAAAGGTCCCATATCTTGTAGTATAGGCCATCTTCCACTCATCGCCTTTCCTCACCCAGTATCAGGTTGTAGGCCCCCCTCAGGTCCAACTTGGTGAAACTTTTCGCTGATCTCAACCTCTCCAGCAGATCCCCAATATGTGGCAAGGGGTATCGGCTGGGAATCATGAGCTTGTTGGTCTTCCTATAGTCCACAACGAGCCTTTTTTCCGGGGTGTCCCTCTTGCTTACGAAGAAAACTGGGGCTCCCCCTGGTGCCTTTGTTGGTCGGATAAAATCCCTTGCCAAATTCTTCTGCAAGAACTCCCTCAGCTCGGCTAGTTCCGTCTCTGACATGGAATAGAGGCGACTGGTGGGTATCTGGGCCCCTGGCACCAAGTCTATTTTGCAGTCATAAGGGCGGTGTGGGGGTAACTGGTCTGCCTCCTTCTCACAGAACAAGTCTCTGAAGGCCTTATACTGCGGGGGTATGGAACTCTCTTCTCCCGTGAGTTTCCCTCCTACCTCCGCCCCCTTCGCTCCCACCTCTCTAGGTACTTCAAGCCTCAAGCAGTTCGCTTGGCAAAAGGCTGACGCGAATGTTAAGGAGCGTTGGAACCAGGCCACGACAGGATCCTGTTTTGTCAGCCACGTCATGCCTAGGACTATGGAGTGTGTCACTAACTTAGTGATATGGAACCTCATTGTCTCCTTGTGCCCCACCACATCCACCCCTAATGGTTGTGTGGCTTGAATCATCTCCCCCCCCCCCCATTAAAGGTCGACCATCTATCGTCTGTACCTCTATTGGGGAGTCTAGTTGCTGTGTCCCAAGATTGTGTTGCTTCGCAATATCTGCATCTACAAAGTCTAGCGACGCCCCCAAATCCACCAACGCTTGCCCTTGCACCCTGCGACCATCTGGGAGTTGTAGCGTCACGGGCAGAGCTATCCCACGAATGGCTGGTTCCATTTGAGGCCCCTCTACTGACTTGTCTCCCAGCCCCTGGCCTCTCTTAAGGGCTGGGATTGGCCATTTCCCGACTGTTCTGATTGGGATTTGGGTTTTTCCTCCACCCCGGCCTCTGAAAGGGATCCCCCGTCTTCCTATCCGGACACTGTTTAGCCAAATGCCCCTGCCTGGTGCACACGAAGCAAGTGCGTGTCTCCTGACGCTGCTGACTCCCTTCCTTCCATGCCTTCCTGGTTGTCTCCCCTTCCACCGATCCAATCTGCATCGGTTCAACAGCTTCTCCCTGACTAGGTGTGCTGCCAACCCCCTGTTCCGGAAGCTTGGGAGTGTAGGCCCTTACCCCCCAAGGGCCCCCCTGCCCCCACTTCTCTAGCTTCCTCTGCTGTTGGCGTAGCCCTAGCTGTAAGGACGCTTGAACTATCTCTTCCAGTGACTGCATGGGTTGCATCTTTGCCATCTCATCCAGGATCGAAGGACTCAGCCCTGCACAGTACATGGCGGCAAGGGGCCCTGTGTTCTGTCCCCAGCCCACCTTGTGCAGCAGTGAATTGAAGGTAGTCCAGTAAGAGGCCACAGAGTCACCCCTTTTTGCAAGTTCAGTAGCTGCTGCTCTGCAGTGGCGTGCTCTAGTGGGCTCTTGAACATGGCATCCATCAGTCTCCAGAACTCCTTTTTTTTTTTAATTTATATTTTATTGGTTTACAAATACAAAAAAGAAAACAAAGTTGTACATTCAAACTTCTTAATTACCTCTTAATTCCATTCTTTTGACTTCCCTCAATTTGTCTGAGCTTCCTTCATTTTATAACTTTTAACACAATCCTACTTATTGTTATTTATTCTGGTAGCTTCAATTCATTATTTATACTTATTATTAGATTTTCACATCACAGAGCTTCCTTAAAGCTTACAAACGTAATCTGGTTATCACTTAGTTTTTGCAAATATTGAATAAACTTCTCCCAATCTTCTGTAAATCTTTGATCTCGTCGATTCCGGATCCTTCCTGTCATTCTGTCCAATTCCGCATAGTCCATCATTTTGGCTCTCCAATCTTCTATCGTAGGCAGCTCCTCTTGTTTCCATTTCTGGGCCATCAATATTCTTGCTGCAGTCACTGCATATAAAAATAACTTCTTCTCTTTCTTGTTTATCTCATTCCCTGTAATACCTAAGTAAAAACGCTTCTGGTTTCTTAGTAAATGTATATTTCAACATTTTCTTCAATTCATTATAAATCATTTCCCAGAAGCATTTTACCTTCTTACACTCCCACCACATATGAAAGAAAGTGCCTTCCTTTTCTTTACATTTCCAACATTTGTTACTTATCTTATACATTTTTGCTAACTTTACGGGGGTTATATACCATCAATACATCATCTTCATAACATTTTCTTTTATAGCAGTACATGCAGTGAATCTTAAACCATCTTTCCACAGTCTTTCCCATTCCTCCATTTGTATATTATGTCCTATATCTTTGGCCCAATCAATCATCACAGATTTTACCTCCTCATCCTTCGCATACCATTCCAGCAATATCTTATACATTTTTGCTAAGATCTTACAATCATTATTTAATATGTCGGTCTGAAATTTGGATTCTTTATCAGCAAAGCCCCTTTCATTTAAATCTTTTCTAAACATCTCATTAATTTGAAAAAAATGCAGCCAGTCATTCACATAATTCTTCACTTCTTCAAATGGTCTCATTTTCCATTTTCCTTCACTTTTACATATCAATTTCTCATATGTTACCCAACCCCCTGTCATATTGACTTTCTTCACGCTCATCACTTCCAGCGGTGATAACCAATAAGGAGTTTTTTGTTCCAACAGATTTTTATATCTTTCCCATACTTCAGTCAAGGACCTTCTTATAATATGATTTTCAAAACCTTTGTGGACCCGTTTCTTATCATACCACAAATACGCATGCCACCCAAATCTATTATCAAAACCTTCTAAGTCTAACACATCCGTATCTTGTAATTTTATCCATTCCTTTAACCAACAGAGGCAAGATGCTTCATAATATAATTTCAGGTCTGGCAGGGCGAAGCCTCCTCTTTCTTTTGCATCTGTTAAAATCTTAAATTTTATCCTCGGCTTCTTACCCTGCCAGATATACCTTGAAATTTCTCTTTGCCAGTTTTTAAAAATTGCTGCCCCCTTGATTACTGGAACTGTTTGGAATAGAAATAACATCTTCGGTAGCACATTCATTTTTATCGTTGTAATTCTTCCCCAAAAGAAAGTTTCATTCTTCCCCATACCTCAAGGTCCCTTTTAATCTTATTCCATGTTGGAACATAATTGTTCTGAAACAAGTCAATACTCCTGAGGGTTAACCAAACCCCTAAATATTTTACTTTCTTAACCACTTCTATCTCAGTTTGCTGCTGTAATCTATTAACTAACTCCTGATCAATATTTTTAGTAATTGCTTTGGTTTTTTCTTATTCAACATAAATCCTGCCAATTGTCCAAACTTATCAATTTCATTTCAATACTTCCAATACTGTATTCATAGGATCTTCCAAGGTTAATACCAAATCATCTGCAAAGCTTTAACCTTATATTCTTTTCTGCCCACCTTTACCCCTTTAATTTGCTCATTACTCCTGATTGCCCTTAAAAACACTTCTAAGACTGCGATGAACAACAATGGTGATAAAGGACATCCCTGTCTTGTGCCCTTGGTTATCTTTATATTTTCCGTTGTCACATTATTAACTATCAATTTAGCACTTTGGTCCATGTATATAGCCTTAATACCATTTTAAAACATTTGCCCTATTCCCATCATTTCAAAAATTTTAAACATAAATTCCCAAGAAATATTGTCAAAAGCCTTCTCAGCGTCAACAAATATTAACATAGCTTGTTTGTCATTTTTAACATTCAAATATTCCATCACATTAATTATATTTCTAATATTATCCTTCATTTGTCTGCCCGGCAGGAAACCCGCCTGATCTTTATGTATTAACTCCTTCAAAACTTTCTTCAATCTGTTTGCTAATATGTTTGCAAATAACTTATAATCATTGTTCAAAAGCGAGATCGGTCTGAAATTTTTAACTTGACTTAAATCAGAGTCTTGCTTGGGAATTAAAGTAATGTACGCTTCTTTCCATGTCTCTGGTATTTCTCTATTTGCTAGAATGTTATTCATAACTTCTTTCAAAGGTACAAGTAGGATGTCCCTTAATTCTTTGTAATATCTTACACTCAGTCCATCTGGTCCCGGCGTCTTTCCAGTTTTCATATCTTTTATTGCATTTCTAATCTCCTCAAATTCAATCTTCTCATTTAAATTATCTCTTTCATTTGTCGGAGTTTTCTGCACCCCTTTCTCTTTTAAATATTCCTCTATTTTTTTTATATTGACCTTTTCTTTTCTCTTGTATAATTGTCGATAAAAGTCCACAAATCCTTTTCTTATACCTTTCGGATCATCAATCTCTTTATTTTCCACTATTATTCTATGTATAGTATTTTGCTCTTTCCTTTTTTATCTGCCAAGCAAGCAATTTTCCTGATTTGTTTGCAAATTCAAAATTCCTTTGTCTCATTCTTTTAATATTACATTCCACTTCTTTATTAATTATCATTGCAAATTGTGCTTGTAACGCTTTGATGTTGAGTTTAATTTTTTTGTCACCTGGGCTAGTAACCAATTTTTTCTCATTCTCCATTATCTGCTTTAAAATTTCTTTTTTCCCTTTTTCCCTTAGTTTGTTCTTAATTGAGTTCTGCTGAATAAAGAATCCTCTCATTACTGCTTTACTAGCGTCCCAAACTGTAGTTATTTTTGTTCCCTGATTCATATTATTTAAAAAATAATCCTTCAAGCAGTTTTGTGCTTCTTCTGCAACTTTTTGATCATCAAAAAGATTTTTATTGGGTTATGATCTGATAAAACCATTGGCTGAATTTCGATCTTTAAAATTCTTGATGTAAGCTCATTCGTTATCCAAATCTGATCGATTCTTGACATTGATTGGTTTGCCTCTGACTGGTAAGTGAATTGTTTTTCTAAAGGGTGTTTCAATCTCCAAATGTCTATTAAGTTGCAATTCTCTACCATTGAAAAAAATGACTTTGGCAATTTCCCTTCTTTAGGTTTACCCACAAATCTTAGTCTGTCCATTTCCATCGACACAACTGCGTTCATATCACCCATTATGATAATCTTTTGGTCCATATATTCAAATGATTTTTTTCTTCTAAGTCTTTAAAAAAGTCCATTCTATTTTCATTTGGTGCATATACTCCGACAATTATTAATTTTTCTCCTTGCCATTTTACTTCCACAGCCACAATTCTGCCCTCCTCGTCTTTAAAGATTTGTTGAGCTTCTAATTTGTTTTTAATATATAATACAACTTCTCTCTTTTTAGTTTTGTCTGATGAAATAAATTCATTTCCTAGTTTTCTATTTATTAAAATTTTTCGGTGTTTTCTCATTACATGTGTTTCTTGTAAGCAAATAATGTCCAAGTTTTGTTTTTTTAAATAGTGTACAATTTTATTCCTCTTCTTTTTCTCGTTCAAACCTTTAACATTCCATGACCATAATTCCAACACCATATTGAATTCTTATTAATTTTAAAATATAAGTCTTTAAATTTTATTTCTCCTCCCTTTCTTCTCCCTCCTCTCCCTCTTCCTCTGATTCTTGTGAAGTTCCTCCTCCAGCTCCTGATTCTGCCAGTGCTGCTCCTTCTTCTTCTCTTCCCAGCTCTTTATATCTTCTTAAAAATTTGTCCATTTCGTCCAATCTTGTTATCCTGTGTTTCTTTCCTTTATATGCAAATGAGACTCCTTCTGGGAATTCCCATCTGAACTCAATTTTGTATTTCCTCAGAGCTTGCACCAGCTGTTGGTATTGGTTCCGTTTTTTTAACAGCCGAAGTGGGACGTCTTTAAAAATAATTATGTTGGCTCCATCGATGTTCAATCTTTTCTCCCTATTCTTTTGTAAAATTAAATTTCTCATTTCTCGATCTTTAAATATAACCAAACAGTCTCCTGGAAATTTCTTAGCCTTCGTTGTTCTCACTTTAATTCTAAAAGTATTTTGTATTGACATTGCAACGTCCCCTTCCTGCATCTCCAACCATATAGCAATTTCTCTTATCAATTTCTCCTTTATCTCTTCTCCTTGGGCTTCTGGCACCAGTCTAAGTCTCAAATTATTCTCCTTCTGTCTCAGTTCATTCATCGCAATAGCATCCCAAAGTTCTTCTTGTGTCTTATTAACTTCAGCTACTTCTGCTTTAATTTTCTCTTCTTGCTTTTTAATCTCCTTGACTTCTGTTTTAACTTTTTTGTTTTTGTTTTTTAAATGATATTTATTAAAGTTTCAAGAAATACAAAAAAAAATACAGAGTACAAAAAAATAACGTTTTTTAAAATATAACAAAAAAAAAATAAAGAATAAAAAGGAAACATACAAAATAAAACAGTTAAAAAAAACACTGATTT